GTAACAGGTGGAAATCAAATTAAATCTTCTTGGTAAACAAAGGGGACGGCACAAACAGATATCTTATATGGGTGGTAGAGGTTCTGCAACGGCTATGGGCATTTAACTGGCGTTTGATGAGAACGGCGCTCTAATTACGCCCCAAACTAATGACGTGACGTCTGCGTCTTAGTTAAATTGAGTGAGTCCAGAAAAAGAACCCTAAAAGGTATCCTAAAATGTTAATAACCTATTACAGTAGAAGGTGGTAATTACCTCGGTGATCTTGAGGGTTTCCACTCAAAGATTATTAGGAACCTATTTATATGTGATCAATTGGTTCGCCGCAACAGTTGTGCATGATTGTGTTGCTAAAATGCAAAATTCTAAATTAATTTACATTTTTAGTGATATAAAACACTTACGTGATGCGATTCCAAATAATCCCAAAAAGGAAAATTAAAGTAACAATCAAATACGGTGATTACTTTAATTCGTACAGAAGGCACTGAAATGATCCCAAAATTTTCGGCAATGATTTATTAATCAGTTTGACTTCAAGGAATTCACGTACGCAACTACGTACATTTATCAAAATTGTTCTCTCTATCAGCGTTCAGCGCACATGCAAAATCGTTGTAAGCGAACATAGGCGGGCCATAAAATGGGCATTGTTGGGTTAAAGAGTAATGCTTATTTAGTTACTAACCATTTTGGACCGTTACAAACTTAACAAAAATACTTATAAATTAATAATATAAAAACCGGCGGCGTCTAAATTGACAAACATGTAAACTAAAGCTATAAGAAACTCTGAATTAATCTACATAAAATTCTGCAATGGGGTTTTCCGCGTTTTTTCAAAAACCTTGAAAATGAACTCCAAGCACATTAAAAATATTAGTGGTACTCATTTTTTTGTCAAGAGAAATCGTTGTGATTAGCAAACACGATTTTAAAATGAACGGCGTTTGAAAAGTTTCGAATGACCGCCACATTGCAGTGACGTCACTACGCGCGTTGGCGCTCAGCCGTAGCATTGCTTACAATCGATTCAGAGAAAGAAAACGTCGTTTTGACGGAAAAAAGCGTCGAATAATTATTGCATTTGTACCTGAGCGTGATAGCAGAAGTCATCGCGAACCTAATAAATTGTATATAAACGTCCCAACAGGAAATATACGAAAAAAGTTCGACGTGATACCGCGAATTTGACATCCCATTTGTATTGTTGTGAAGACGATTCTAATTAATTAAAGTGCATAATGTCGATTTACTTTCAGTCAGTTATCGACGAAAATCCATAGATATATAATATTGTAATTGTAATTCAGAATATGATTTACTTCGAACTCTGTTCTGGGCATATCTGTGCCCTTACAGCGCACACATTTTTCTCTATTTTCACTTCCACATATCCAACACCCTAATTTTCTCGTTGAAATCCATAAGGTGCATACTGTATTAGGTACCTACACTATACCTTGCACTATACACACATAACTTGATGTTATACTTCCTATGAACCATAACAGATTTGCTTGTGGGCTTTGACTCCACTCAACCGAGTGGCATGGAAAAACTCACTTTTCGAGAAAAAGGCGGCGACCATTAACACTTCAACCTTTGGCAGACTATCTAACTGCCCCTTTACGAACCAGTCAGAACTCGGTTTATGGCAGATTGCCATAATAAGTCGAATCGAACTCCTATCAGTGTCATGCACTAATATAACTCCCGATCGGCAACCCGCGTAGTGACGTATGCGACGCTCGGCCAATATCGGCATGTCGTCGGTTGCATGACAAAATTTGAAAGTTTTACGATATTATATGTTTATTGACATGCTGCAATTAGGAAAAAAAGTTTTGTATATGAGATGTTTAATTACAGGTTATAAACTTTACAGTAAGACACAAAAAAGTTACAATATTTTTTTTCAGGAAGACCCTATTCTTTGCCCATTTAAGCGACTTTGTATCTCTTGCGGTTTACGAGATCCTCATACTAAACATCGGAACAAACTCACGCCGTATATGTGTGGTGTTATTTTTGCAGTAGTACTCGGCATATTTATTTCATTACTCTATATATTTATAAACCACTATACAGTGCAAATTCAATATCATAGACTTATATTGTTAAAACGCTTGTAATTACGAGTAGGTATTAAAATCATGAATGTGGTTATATTCGTGCTAGATTTTCCATGTAGTTAACGATCTCTTGAGTTTATTAAGCAGAGAGCAAAACGATACAAGCTTTATAGAGGAGACGATGGCGTCTGCCTGTGAACACGACAACTGACAAATGCTTGGACAGATTCGATTCAAACTTGACACAGTTGACCTACATGCCACATGTAAGAACTGTAAGAATCCTATTGAAAATGGGCCAATACCAAGACCCCGTAGGGTCACACTGAGGTTATGCTCGGCCACTTTTTTAGATTCGCTTTAGAGTTCAGAGACTTGTTACATGTGGGTATAGAGTGTGCAAAGTTCGAAGCAAATCGGCCGAAACGTTAAGCAGTAATCTTGTTTACGGACGTACGGACAGACGAACACCATCGACTCCCCTATTATAAATCTTGCATCGCTTTACTCTGCCACTTAATAAATCTACCTAATGAAAATGCAATGGGTTGAAACTTATCTCGTATTACAGTTCTTCGTGAATAACGAACTAAGGGTTCTTGACGGATTACTTGACAGCTAAAACAAGAATCCCGTTGAGAGATATGTCTCAGGAGACTATAGAATTGAAACGGCTATTTCCTCACGTTAAAATGTTAGGTACAGTGCGACACAAGGCAAGAAGGCGCATCTGTCGAAACCGAAGCTATGTTATATATAACATACAAGGTGTCAAGAAAGGGTAGGGGATTTTGGTAGTTGTCAAATCGATTTTTTGTGTCAAGTTATCGGTAGTACCCTGCTGAATTATGTTGCAAAGATGATATTGTCTATCTTCACGCTGCTGGCACTCCTCTAATCTCGAACGGAAGTTTGAAACAGCACATTAACACATTTCTTGAGAGACTTCCGCCATTTCTGCCTGATGCTATGCTTTGACTGAGTCAGATTCCTCGGGTTATTATACCTTACTTTAGAGGTATCCCCATAAAAAATAGTCGAGGGCACTAAGATCGCGGGGCTCCTAGGAGGCTAATTAACGGTACCCCTTCGAGAAATCACTTGATGAGGAAATAGTGCGCTTACGTGTTCAATTGCTATTGCAGACGTGTGGCAGGGGTCTTGCTGAAACCATGTTTCTTCATCAAAACCTTGAAACTGTTGCAACACTGGAGCCACCAAATCTCTTAACATTGAACAATAACGTTCACTATTGACTGTGAGTGCTCACCCTCGTTGTTCTTCGTGAAAATACAGATCAATGATGCTTTTTGCGGACATTACAGCCCACACAATGACTTTTGGACTATGACGTACGCAATAGTGCGATAGATCTACGGGTACGACTCCATGGCAACTAAAACTCCACAAAGCAGTGCACAAACCCCCTAACCTGCGCCCTTACCCTTTCTGGACATTTTGTATAATATAATTTTTAAATAAATGAAACACCCCTACAACAAATATTGGTTGTTTTTCATACTACTCTAAATATCATATTAATATTTTATGCTACTGTTACAATGAAAAAACCAAATTTGGACCGCTACGTGTAAAAATTCTGAAATATCAAAAACTATGTATTGGTGTTTGATCGTTAAAGCTGGTTTTACATCAACAATAAATTGATCAATTTCTTGTTCAAGTCGCTTTGATAAGAAAACTTGACGAGTGTAAACACAGAATTGGATGCAATAGCTTGATCAATTTCTTGTCGGGTTAGCGCAAGTTCAATTATTACAGACAATTTTTACGTCAATTCAGTAGTACCAACTACCATCAACCAACATAAATAATAGCTAATATAGCGATCTTTCTTTTTCTATTCCGTAATCTTCCATCCAAGACAGAGGAAAACATTTTTACACTTTTCACTTTGTTTGTACACAATTAAAAAAAATGACAACCTAACCTTAAAATAATTAAAAGTTGGGGAAATTGTACAATGACTTTAAAACAACAAGAAATTGATCACGTTAACAGCAGTGTAAAACCAAAGAACTTGAGCAAGAAATTGTTCAATAAATTGGCAAATAACTTCATGAACTAATTGATGAAGCAATTGTTGATGTAAAACTAGCTTTACGGCTAAATGCCACAATATTTATTCTTTAGCACAGTCACGAGCCCAGTCATTAACGGCAAAAAACGACCACACTCAGAAGCCATTATGTGGTATACAATGTATCTTCGCTTTCCTGTTGGTTAAACCTTGCGAATCGATCACAATAAGGGAAAAAGTCTTCACCTCCTTCTTCGTAATTAACTTTCTTTGTAGATTTCGACGAACACCTTCCTCGCTTCCGAACGGCCCTAGTTTTTTTACAAATTTGCGGTACCACACCACACGCACACATACAGTCTGTATTCACGAATTCGACGAAAACAAATAATCAGTAAGTTAGATAATTTATTAATAACTGCTAACAATAAGTATACATTATATACAACATAGCTTTATGCATTATAGATCGTGCTTTATAATTCATTAGAAAGTCAGATGATAAAAGTGTTATCTAGAGAATGGGAGTAACCATTCTTTTGATATACGCAGTACTACTAAAGACAATGGAATTATTTGAAAAAAAAAGCTATCTTAAGACACTAAGAAGCTTAATAGCATTTACGGGATTCAGTTTGGAAGAAAATCTTAACATGAAACAGAAAGTATGTTTATGGTTAGTACCCATGGTGACATGCGTGTATGTCTGTTTAATACTACTCAAGGAATGGAAACTAACTGACGATATTAACGATTTTTTGTATACTTCCCTATTTGCAATTGGTATGATATTACTTAATATCCTTATTCAATACAGACTTTGAGTTTTTCAGCCTGGCAGCGTGTTTTTATCATGCGAATCCAAAGATCAAGACTAGCTAAGATGCTGATACTCCTTGAAAAATTTCCTATGGATGATAAAGAAGTGAAATCCCATTTGAATGCAATTTTAACGAAAGTGGTACGTCCAAATTGAAATAAGTACTTTTCAAGGAAACACATTTTTCACGTTTAAGGTTACCATCTTTGTTGCAATACCACCCATCGCAGTTGGTAGTGGGGTAGTTGCATGGTACACCTCCTATGGAGAGGGCACGTTACCATTTGGTTCTATGCCAAGATGGGCAATGGAGTACAGTACAAACATGTGTCTAGTTATTCAAGTTATAACATATACATTTCTGGGACATGAGTTTTTAATGTGGGACGGAGCCAAATGGAGCATTTTGTTACAACTGCGTGGAAATTTCAAATATTTGAATAGAAACGCCAGAAATTGTCTTGGGTATGCGAGAATTGACTGTGAACAGTCATCGAATTCCACTTTGAATATTTCATGGTGCCATATGCAAAAGCTGATAAAATACATAGCCGTAAGGCACAATTACCTATCTTTAGCTACCAAGGAAGTAGAATTGGTGTTTAATAAAACTGTTTTAATCAGCATCCTTGATTTATCAATTATATTTTGCATAATTCTGTTGCGTCTATCAAAAGTAAGTCAAACCTGATCTCCTTCGGCGAATTCTTCTTGTTTGTTTATAGTTTTCTTCAATCAACATGGAAGCTTGCACTTTATTATTTTACTTAATGGTTCTTTTGACGCTACTCTGTGGGGATACCTTTCTATGTGTGCAGGTGGTGACAGAAAGTGAAAGGTTGCTTTATTCTTACTACGAAATTGATTTTGTTGGCACGGACCTCAGATTTCAAAAAGCCTTAGTATTGCTAATGACCCGAGCACAAAGACCAACTAATTTTACAATTGGTAATTTTGCACCTCTATCCATGGGGGCAATAGTCACAGTAAGTCGTTAATTTTACAGTCGTCTGTGTTATACAACTGACTTTTTAGGTTTTGAAGGCTTCAATATCATACCTTATGCTCCTGATGCAAATAAAGGACCGTTAGTGAAATCACAGATTAAGAAGAGTTTCACCATCACCTACACGTACCTATCTAACTATATGTATACGCGTATTTACTCAAAATATTTTCTTACACAGAGTGACCCGCATGGCATAAAAAGTTCCATAAGACCAGTGGCGGTTTCTCAATAAGTGCACATGAGCACGTGCACTCCCAAAAATCATTTTAAAAAAACGAAAACAATAGCAATTCTATTTATGTATTTAACATTCTTGCACGTTCGTATCTCGCAATAAAAATAGTTCACTCATCTTATCTGAAATGCAAAACCTAACGGGTACATTGACACACCGCTGAACGTGTATTAAGAATTATTCCCATTCCGCCTTCACGTGCAGTGCACGATTAGCTACGATCTCTGATTCGTTCAAACGCTACGTTGCCTTTCCCCGTGCGCCCCGCGAAGGTTCAAGTTGTAAAGTATAGCAAGAGCACACTCTCATTGTGAACCAGTATTCGCCGGACTACGAAGTAGGGTTTGTTGATCGTTTCGGTTTTAACAAGTAACGTTGCGACGACGTTACCGTTCATTATTTAAAGACAATTATTAAATTTAATTTACTAAAATTTGAAGATCAAATTAAAATAAAAAATGCGGGTCACCCAAAACCGAGTTTGGAAATATCGAAAATCAATAAGGGAAGTCGGGATTATAAACAATCGTTTAAAATAGACATGTATATGAAAACAAGTTGTAAATCAGCATATGCATGATTAAAGCGCATTTTTGGTAATGCAGGTCAGTATTTTATTAGCGAAGTTTAAAATTATCGATCTCGCGAGTAATTTTGGCTGCGTTAAATAATTAACTTTATTTAATTTCAATTGACGGTACGTCTTCATTTTGTAAAACAAATCACAAAGTAAATAATAAGTTTTTATACTGGTAGCGCTATCTAACGTAAAATTATAGCACCTCCGAAACCCATATCGAAATTATTTTCTTCAATTATCGATCTCACAAGTAATCTAACTCAAAATAGACTAGTGCCTGCACATCTACACTATAGCAGAAAGCTTTTAGTGAAAATTTGAAGTCTCTAGCTATTGTAGTTGTGGAGATCTAACGCGGACAGCCGGCCTGCCAGCAATAACGAATATAATAGCGTATTTTTTTCAAAAATGCGCTAAAAACTGACTGGTTATGCAGTTGTAACTTTAACAATAGTCTGTATTGTTTTCCATGTTTGTTGTTTGGGGATGAGCTCGGTGATGAGGCATCAGAATGGACAAAGAATGGCGTTACAGACTTAGTGCATTTATCCGAATAAATTAAAAAATATCAATCTTCAAAGGCACATCATATATCTGCTAAATTGATAATTAGGTAAGCAAGATATACGGCAACAGTTAAATAGTGCATACCGTTTGAGTATCGAAAAACGTAACGAGGAAGTAAAAAAGAACAGGTATGTTTTATCCAAAATTATAGACCGTATAAAATTTTGTGGTGCTTTGGAACTGCTTTCCGCAGCCATTGACAAAACGAGAAAATTCAATAAACCCTGGAGTATTTAAAGGTCTCATCAGTAAGCTTTTTTATGCCATTTAATAGGCCCAAAAAACTTCGTGTTGCGATGACACTCAAAAAATTTTCGCCAACGGCGCTTTGCCCGTGGCCCCATTTTTCCTCCTTTTTTTTAAATTGTGCACCCCCAAGACGCACCACTACGCGCCGCCACTGCATAAGGCCGAACTTCACCGAGCGTCCCTACCCAATGCTCACCTCCAAGCACGTAGTAAATATATGTACTGTGGACAAACACCTTGTTTTGAACTTTTTGTAATATCAGTGCACGCGAATCTATAGAAATTAAATTTAGATATGCAGGATGACCGTCATCACATTCAATTAAAAATATGTGCGTATACAATATTCTGAAAATGAAAGGAATAATTTTGTTACACCTTAACTCAGTGACGTATACTAAAATTTCATCATAATGTGTAGAAATGTCATCCCTAAATTTAATGCCCTTAGAGTGAGGGTGGTAATCTGCAAAATTTTTATACGGGAAGTAGGGGCTTGTGATACATCATCTGAGAGGTCTTTTAATTTTCTACAAACAAACATATTCAAATCTAATGCTCCAACTGACGACCCAGAACGATAATACAATGAGATCGGCGAGCAACGAAGAACAATCTCTTTCCGCACTTTATCAAGAATTCCAGAGATATTTGTGCCATCGATATGGAGTCGTCTATTGTTGTACACTCCACCTTTTAAATGTCCCCCTAGAAAGAAATCAAGAGGAGTGAAATTTGGTGAGCTAGGTGGCCACTAGATTGATTCTCTTCGTCCAATCCACCTATCTTGGAAAACACGGTTCATGTAGTGTCTCACCAAGACCGCATAGTGGGAAGGCTACAGTCACAGATCACTTCTATTTGGGAACAACCGATTCAGATCTGGTATTAAGGAATTTTTGAGAAATTCTAAAGATTGAGGACCTGTTAAAGTTCCATCGAAAAAGTGTGGTCCTATAATATTATTCCCGCTCAGATATAGATACATTTATTTTGTGTGGGTAATGAGTCTGAGGCTTCTGCATCCAATGTGAATTTTCCATAACCCAATACCGACACGTCTGACGATTTAAATGACCATGTAGCGTCATCCGAAAACAGAACTTTTTTTAAAAAATTGGATTACTGTTATTTTTTCCATCACAATTTCGCAAAATTCATTGCGACTATCAAAGTCCTCTTTCAGAAGCTCATGTACTGAAATAACTTTATAGGGCGCCATTTTTCCTTTTTTTAGTGTTCTAAGAGCTTTTCCAGTCTATGTCAGGTACTGTCTACCGAGCGCGCAGCGGTGATCATTTTTCTCGACGCGCGTGCTTTTCTCACACATGCGTGAGCGACAAAATGAATAAAGAGCGCCAAATTTGAATATTTCCTATAAAATCTAACAATGCTATTATCGAATGCTGCTTGCCGTGAACTGGTATGGGTATCCTCTTCAAACGCTAGTACAGTAGTATAAGCAAAAAAAAATTTGGTGGAACTTTAATCAGGTTTTTCGTGTCGATGGAATAGGAAGTCAGATATTGTACTTACGATAATTTAATTAATAAAAAACAATTACACGCCATTCGCACATAATAGGAAAAATAAGAAAGGAATCTACGCAGTGCACTTACTACTCTGCATTCTACCGCTTTTGAAAATTCAACTACGCCAAAAACTGAATATAACCAACATTTATTATAATAACTGCGTTTTCAATATCAATTCAAAATAAATTACATTTTTTTGTTGCTAATGTATTGATTCCGTGTTTTTCGTATTATAACAAGGGACAAATTAAATATTATTTAACTTGTTTATTCATTATATAATCTAACGAATACTACTCTTGTATTCATTACAATCAGAATATTCTATGTTGATATACTCAACGTATTTTTTTGGGAACACCACTCGTCCTTCGGACTCGTGGTGTTCCCAAAAATACGTTTCGTGTCCAATACAGTATATTCGATTATAATGAATGCATTCGTGGCATTATAAGCGATTATTTTTTGACGTTTCTCGAAACCAACAGAAATGTTCAATTTCAGTCATTCATATTCGTTCTAGCCAATCAAAACATTATTATAGTGGGAATAAGCATGATTCCCAGCGAGAATTTTTCGATGTACATTGTTTTTATTGAATGACAACCACAATGACAACGTATTTTCTTGATCTGACGCGTCTGTCATAAATTTTCAAGAAGCTCGTAAAATGAATCGCAAACGTTTTAGTGAATCATCAGTCGATGAAATAAGTAAGTAATATAATCATTGTAAGTAAATGTAAGTGCATTTAAGAATATGTACCCACCCTAATAAGCAACGCGTCTGTTTGGAAACAATTCCAATTATTTTGCGACCAGATGAGAGGCTATACATTGGAAGAAAAAAGATCAACCGCAAAACTAGTCGTTATTTTGAAGCACTAATGGGTTCAATATGCGAAGAAACAGAATGGAGAAGACTATAAAGAAGATCTTAAAAGTGATTTTGATTGTAACGTCAAAAATAATCTATGGAATACCACACGAGAGTTCGATAAATTAGATAATAATTCTCCAGGTCTTTTCTCAAACTTGTTGCCATTTGGCAATAGCCACTTGAGCCCTTTGGGCTCTCGTGACTATTGCCTGGCAACAAGTTTTCTAAAACCTGTCGAATTATTTTCAATTTATTCTCACTCTCTTGTGATATTATTACAGACATTTGTCAAACTTCCACCATTGAAATGTGAGCGAAATTTTTTCGTATTAACCGGAACGTTCTTCTTAGTTTGTTAATCAATTTCGACAACCGACTTATCACCACATCCTTTAATTTGATCACTCATAACGAATTAGCTTGGAGCACAAAAGTTCAAATGGAACATTAGCAGAATGAAAAAAAGCAACTTCCGTAATTTATTTTGACGTTTATTGTTGTCATGGAAATAATGTCATGGCTTCGGGTTTATCACGTATAAACATAAATTCGCGTGGGTAATTACGTTTAAAGTTTCTTTTGATTCATTGAATAGTCCTTCGAATACCATTCGTAGTCGAAATATTTCTCAATTATTTTTGAGGTGCTGTTCCACTCATGCTAGTTACGCTTTTTAATACCACTCGCGCTATTAATCAGCGTAACTAGCTTTTGTAACAGCACCTCAACAATTATTGGCAATACTTCAACGACTCATGGTATTATATATCACAATTTTTACGTCAATTCAGTAGTACCAACTACCATCAACCAACATAAATAATAAAGTCAAGATGTTTTCATCATTTTTATGAGCTATAATTATAGCTAATAAGCTATTTTTCTTTTTCTGTTCCGTAATCTTCTATTCAAGACAGCGGGAAACATTTTTACACTTTTCATTTTTTTTCTACTCAATTAAAAAAAATGACAACCTAACCTTAAAATACTTAAAGGTTGGTGAAATTGTACAATTACTTTAAAACAACAAGAATTGATCAAGTTAACAGTAATGTAAAACCAAGGAGCTTGAGCAAGAAATTGTTCAATAAATTGACAAATGAATTCATGAAGTAATTGATGAAGAAATTGTTGATGCAAAACTAGCTTTACAGCTAAGTGGCACAATATTTATCCTTTAGCAGTCACGAGGATACCAGTCATTAACGGCAAAAAACGACCGCACTCAAAAGCCTAGTTGTATTATTATGTGGTATGCATGTGTCTTCGCTTTCCTGTTGGTTGAACCTCGCTAATCGATCACAATAAGGGAAAAAGTCATCACCTCCTTCTTCGTAATTAACTTTCTTTGTAGATTTCGACGAACACTTTCCTCGCTTCCGAACGACACGACGCCGACGCTAGTTTTTTTCCAAATTTGCGATAACACACCACACGCACACATACAGCCTGTATTCACGAATTCTCAACGAAAACAAATAATCAATAAGTTAGATAATTTATTAAGAACTGCTAACAATAAGTATACATTATATACAACATAGCTTTATTCATTATATATCGTGCTTTATAATTCATTAGAAAGTCAGATGATAAAAGTGTTATCTAGAGAATGGGAGTAACCATTCTTTTGATATACGCAGTACTAGTAAAGACAATGGAATTATTTGAAGAAAAAACCTATTTTAAAACACTAAGAAGCATACCAGCATTTACGGGATTCAATTTGGAAGAAAAGCTTAACATGAAACAGAAAGTATGTTTATGGTTAGTACCCATGATGACATGCGTGTATGCCGGTTTCGTACTACTAAAGGAATGGAAACTAACTGACGATATTAACGATTTTTTGTATACTTCCGTACTTGCGATTGGTATGGTATATTACTTATTATCGTTATTCAATACAGACGGAGTTTTCAGCCTGGCAGCGTGTTTTCATCATGCGAATCCAAAGATCAAGATTAGCTAAGCTGCTGATACTGCTTGAAAAATTTCCTATGGATGATAAAGAAGTGAAATCCCATTTGAATGCAATTTTAACGAAAGTGGTACGTCCAAATTGAAATAAGTATTTTTCAAGGAAACACATTTTTCACGTTTAAGGTTACCATCTTTGTTACATTACCACCTATCGCAGTTGTTAGTGGGGTAGTTGCATGGTACACCACCTATGGAGAGGGCACGTTACCATTCGGTTCTATGGCAAGTTGGGCAATGGAGTACACTACAAACATGTGTCTAGTTATTCAAGTTATGACATATACATTTCTGGGACATGAGTTTTTAATGTGGGACGGAACCAAATGAACCATTCTGTTACAACTGAGTGGAAATTTCAAATATTTGAACAGAAACGCCAGAAATTGTCTTGAGAATGCGAGAATTGACTGTGAACAGTCATCGAATTCCACTTTGAATATTTCATGGTGCCATATGCAAAAGCTTTTAAAATACATAACCGTAAGGCACAATTACCTGTCTTTAGCTGCCAAGGAAGTAGAATTGGTATTTAATAAAACTGTTTTAATCAGCATCCTTAATTTATCGTTTATATTTTGCATGATTCTGTTGCGTCTATCAAAAGTAAGTCAAACCTGATCTCCTTCGCCGAATTCTACTTGATTGTTTATAGTTTTCTTCAATCAATATGGAAGCTTGCACTTTATTATTCTACTTAATGCTTCTTTTCACGATATTCTGTGGGGATACCTTTTTGTGTGAGCAAGTGGTAACAGAAAGTGAAAGGTTGCTTTATTCTTACTACGAAATTGATTTTATTGGAACCGACCTCAGATTTCAAAAAGCCTTGGTAATGCTAATGACCCGAGCACAAAGACCAACTATTTTTACAATTGGTAATTTTGCACCTCTATCCATGGGGGCAATAGTCACGGTAAGTTGTTAATTTTACTTACGTCTCTGTTATACAACTGACTTTTTAGGTTTTGAAGGCTTCAATATCATATTTTATGCTCCTGGGGCAAATAAAAGACCGTTAGTGAAAGAAGAGCTTCACCATCATACACCTACACGTACCTATCTATATATATGTATACGCGTATTTGCTAATAAAATAGTTTCCTACACAGCGTGACCCGCATGGCATAAAAAGTTCCATATGGGGCATTTACATGAGTCAATTTTCGCTGTGCGATTAATCGCTTCACAAATTTCCTCACAAAGCCGCATCGCCACCCCATTTACACAGTTGACTAAAATCGCAAGCGAATAGGCCAAACACACAACATCATGCTGCGGGCGATCGTCTGCAACTGACCATTTTCACGGTCGATTTTAGTCACCAGCCGCATGCTGCCCTTCCTTGCACGGCCAAAGTCGGACGCTAGACTACTTTGGAACAAGCGATTTAGTCACTTACGGCCTAGCCGAATTGACATTTAGACGGTCGATTTTTGCCGTGCGGTGTTGTGCGTCGTACAGCGAAAATCGACCCGTGTAAACCCCCTATAAGACAGAACCCAATGCTCACCTCCAAACACATAGCAAATATACGTATTGTGGACCAACACCTTGTTTTGAGCTTTTTGTAATACAAGTGCACGCGAATCTATACAAATTATATTTAGATAATCAGGGTGACCGTCATCACATTCAATTAAAAATATGTGCGTATGCAATATTCTGAAAATGAAAGGAATAATTTTGTTATACCTTAACTCGGTGATATACTCGTATACTAAAATTACATCATAACGTGTAAAAATGTCATCCCTAAGTTTAATGCCCTGAGAGTCAGGGTGGTAATCTGCAAAATTTTTATACGGGAAGTAGGGGCTTGTGATACATCATCTGGGATGTCTTTTAATTTTTGTATAAACAAACGTATTCAAAACTAATGCTCCAACTGACGACCCAGAACGATAATACAATAAGATAGCCGAGCCTCGAGCCGAGCAACGAAGAACGATCTCATTCCTCACTTTATCAAGAATTTCCGGAGATATTTGTGCTATCGATATGCTGTGCTCTATTGTTGTATACTTTACCTTTTAAATCTCCCCCTAGAAAGAAATCAAGAGGAGTGAAATTCAGCGGCCAGGGTGGCCACTCGATTGATCCTCTTCGTCCAACCCACCTGGGAAAACTCTGTTCATGTAGTGTCTCACCAAGACCGCATAGCAGGGAGGCTACAGCCAGAGATCATTTTTATTTGGAAACAACCGATTCAGTTTTGGAGAAATTCTAAAGATTGAAGACGTGTTCTATCGAAAAAGTATGGTCCTATAATATTATTCCCGCTCATATATAGACATTTATTTTGTGCGGGTAATGAGTATGAGGCTCCTGCATCCAATTTGAATTTTCCATAGCTCAATACCGACACATCTGACGATTTAAATGACCATTTTTAAGAAATGTAGCGTCATCCGAAAACAGAACTTTTTTTTTAAAATTGGATTACTGTTATTTTTTCCATCACAATTTCGCAAAATTCATTGCGACTATCAAAGTCCTCTTGCATAAGCTCACGTACTGAAATAACTTTATAGGGACGCCATTTTTCCTTTTTTTAGCGTTCTAGTCTTCTAGAGCTTTTCCTGTCAGGCAGTATCTACCGAGCGGAGCTGCGATCATTTTTCTCGACGCGTGTGCTTTACTCACACATGCGTGAGCGACAAAATGAACAAAGAGCGCTAAATTTGAATATTTGAAATAGAATCTAACAATTTTATTATCTAATGCTGCTTGCCGTGAACTGGTATGGGAATCCTCTTCAAACCCTAGCAGAACATATCCTCTATTCGTGTCCTTGTTTTATCTCCACAAGCAATCATTATAAGAATTTCTATTCTTTCTGTTAGAGCGAGTTTTATTTTCAAGAAAAAAAAACTTGATTACAATGTAATCGACTACAGATGCATTTACATCTGACACATCAAATATGTTTAATTTGTAATTTGATAAGAAGCAGATTATTTTTAAATCAAAAAGTCACAGTACAATTTACATACGTAAGGGATTGTGCGCCTGCAACCGATAAACTATTGAACAAACCGCTGATGTTAAGGCAGCCTCGCTACGCTCGGATTTTAACCTGACATCTACGGCTGTTATGCTAGCCTTAACATACCTTGGTATGGTTAATAGCTATAAACAAATCGCCTTTGAAATGATTTGAGAATAACCATAAAAACGCATTTTCTATAACTGTTACAAAATAAAAATGTTAGCGAAATTGTTGTTTTTTATGTTATCGATTTAAAAGAAGTATAATAAAAAATATCGTTCATTACACGTCCAGAAATGCTTTTCCGTGCTTGCATGCCTTCCCGTGTTCGGCTACGCCTCACACGGGAATTTGCCACGCACGCACGGAAAAAGCCTGCTTTCCGGACTCCTAATGAAATATACTATTTGAATTTACGGAGTTTTCTCGAAGTTAACGTCACTTTCATGCTTTTATACACCAATATGTAGGGACAATCAGTGATTGGGTCAAAATTTTGCTTTTGTTAAGTTAACATAAATTGAATTATTGATCCTTATAGGGATTAATTATGGTTTTAGTATACGATTTACCCGAGTGTCAGACGTTAGGCAGAACGCGCCCTTCAGAGCCCAAAAGATTACGACCTGACGTTCAAAAGTAATTTATTTTTATTTTCGTCGACTCCTTGATATAACGTTTGATTACATACTGGTTTTCCACACAATCGAATTGTAATTACTACATTTATTTGATAGTCACTTGACAATTATAGCTTAGTTGTTTTCTGCGGAAGCCTGTTTTGATTTTAATAATTCACTGAACTACGTGCTGATCAGCTTTTGCTAAAAATTGATTTAAATTTAAACATTGATATTTTAGATATTACAGTATTTGCAATATTTTTGAGATCATTTATTAAATTACGCCCGATTGTGACAACAATTATTGTTTATATGTTCTATCTCTTTATTTTATTTCTTTAGCTTATCAAGACCAGAACAAAGATCTCTTAAATTTTTTCCTTTTTAAATTTACTAAAGACTAAGTGGCGCCTATCCGGTTTACTATTACTACATTTCCCCGTTGCTTCATTTTTGCGAGTGTACAAGAACCCCGTTTTTCACCCCGACCCACTTCTGCTTGTGCTTATCTCAAAGTAGTTTTGTTACATTTGCTCAAAGCATTGAGTAATTAAATATGAGTTCACTCAACGCTCAAAGTGAACGTAAGAAACTATATGTAATAAGAAGGATTAACTTTTTTATTTCGTTTTATGAAGCAATCTCCAGAAGGGGGGTGACGAGGTTAATCCTAAAGAATCAATCTTAATTACCAAATTTCATGGATGATAAAATGCATGTTTTCCAAAAATTTGAAAATAAAAGCTTATAAAAAACGAGACTGAATTTCAAAAATTTTAAAATTATAAATTATTATGTGCTTATTAAAATTCGCTTACGTGTTTGTATCAAAACTTCGAACATCAGTTGAAAGTGTTTCGCGTTAAATTAATCTTTGACGCTTTATTTTCTCTAAGCAAATTAATTTCCACAAGTTCGACTTTATCAGAAAATCTTAGTCTAAATTATACACGACCTACGTATCAAAGTTCACCTAAGATCGCCTTTTAGCAAACTCCAATCGTTTCTACTTGCAATAAGTTAGTAGTACTTTCTATACAACTGCATAATTAGAGACTGCTGTTATCGGTTGCTTTGATAGTTGACTTTCGTCGCGAGTGAAAACTTCGGTACCATGTTCTCAGGTTGCTTTTCCACGACAAATTGGTTTCTTTGTCAGATTTCAAACAATTCCTATTAAATTACGGCAATTTGCATTTTCCATTATTACGTTGAGCTGGAGAAATGTGGCAACGCATTGGAAGCGATTTATGAAATTTTCATTTTTAATTGTGGGGTTTCACTAAATATTATTTCTCAACAAAACGAGAAGCAATAATATTAATGTACCTAAGAAATATAAATATCCGATTCTCGACCAGTGAAAAAAGGGAAGCATTTATTTCGGGCACGATTGACATGCCACTAAAACAGTTCTTCAAGTGATTTTCCATATACATTCCAAAACAGCTATACAGCTCCAAAATCTACATCGATTAAACGTAGGTAAAGTTGGGCATTTTGGGGACGAATATAACGCTGCTTCAAAAGTCAAGGATTTCCGAATACTTTCAGAAGTTCGTCGATTTCTTTTGTGACTTTATTTAAAGAGACTTTTTAAAACGAATGTCACTTTCCCATTACTTTTTGACCTCTACAAACTGGCATGATAATATTGTGCGACGTTTCGATTTTTTGCAGCCATCATCAACTTTATTTTTTTAATTACGAACCTGAACTTTTTATGGTTTGAACGTCATTCTGAAAACTACATGTATGTATAACACTTACTTAGCTACTAAAGCTGCGGTCCTAAAATTGACAAAAGAGAGAAGTCAAGTCAACACAAAAATTTTTGTGTGTAAAATTCTTCTCTTTTGGAATAATTTGGATTTTTTCAGATAAAGAAATCATGATACACGAATTAACTCTTTATTATATTTCGTAATCACTTTG